TTCTCCACTTCTCCCAACACGTCTTGTAGTTTCATGTAGAAATCATCTTTTGTCTGCTCATCCGCGTCATAAGTGGGTTCATAAGAAATTCGAATTATATTTGCCCAAAAATTTTACATAAAGAATTATTCGTGGAGGTCATTTTATTCAGTACAGCCAATCTTTCAGCGTTAAAACACTATTATACTCATAATATTTGTTTTCCCATGCTACATTTCGGGCTTGGCTTTGATGACGTCACCTTCTGGAACCCGAAGATGTTTTTTTTTGCAAATAATATGTATGTCTCTTGATCTTTTATCATAATTTTAGCTCGAGGAATTGAACAAGTCCAAGAAATATGAAAGTGAGGAATATGATGACTCAGGTACAAAGTGAAGAATATCAGAATTTTTGTGCTGTGCTTAAAATGTTATTGTCGACCCGATTTATAAGATTAGAAAGGCATCAAACATTGCAAAGCGCAATCGGGAGCAAACTTTTAGTCTGTGCGTACAAGGGCCTGATTATATGAATGGTTTCTTTTGTCTCCTTTTCACTTGAGGACAMCAAGTAAACAAATCRGCCMTGTCAACAAATCGTCTTAGGTTTTCTCAAGCAATTCCCGATTATTTTYTCTTCCRGTAGAAAAACTCAGTGTGCTTTACTATACTATTTCAATTCATTCCTCAAGGAACTACGGAAGACAAAAAGGAAAAGCTCCTTGAACTTTTAAAGCAAGAAGGAAAACCAGGGTGGCTTAAAAAGGCAGAGCAAATGGTAAGTAATTCGATAATACTCTCCTATTTGACCATACTTTTTTCACAAGTAAGAACTATTGTATATAAAAAGCTAATTCTGTCGCAGGTAATTTGAATCGCATCAATCGTATTTGTGTTTATTTCCAACCGGTAATCATCATCATCATCATCGTCATTGTCAATGTCATCATATCTTTTTTTGCATTTGTGCAGGCTAAGGAGAAAGCTAAGGAGATGGAAAACAAGAACCCTTCAAATAATGGACAAAACGATGACAAGTCASCAAATGAACTCCAGGACGCAGGTAATAATCAAATTTCTCTACAAAAGTCGACACCAATATCAAAAAGCTRTATTTTGTGGTAGAGAAATTTTGGTGATAATAGTTCTAGTGAATTGGTAGCTCATTGTCTGCATTGTCGAGTTCTTGAATTATTGTGTTTGGATTGATTGATTGCCATGATTGGTTGCAGATTTGATTGACTGCATGATTGATTGRCTAATTGCCGATCGATCGGCTGATTGATCAATTGATTATTTGGTTGGTTGATTGCTTGGTCGGGCGATCGACTGATCAATTATTTTGAGTGATTGATTGCATCATTAATTGTTTGATTTAATATTTAACTTCAGCTTCTCCAACCCAGCTTATTTCCAAAGCCAAAACCCAGCTTGCCGGGTTCTCTGGTCCCTTGGCAAATCGTGTCAAAGGATCCTTATCAAATTTGAATACAAAATGGAAAGACCTTTCCGATGATGACAGAAATGGTGTACTGGCCACAGTCGGCGTCATAGGCACAAACATCCAGAAGTTTGGCAATGCTGGAAAAGATCCTGTAGGAGCAATAAAGGGAGCGGTTGACATCATTGCCTCYATAGCCAGTAATTTTGGACCAAAAGGACAGCTGATAAGTATGGGACTGGGTTTTGTTTCTGCTCTTCTGGGCTTGTTCGGTAAAGGACCAAAACCGAAACCTTTGGCTGAAGTTGTCAGAGAGCAGATTGACGAAGCTCTATCGAAGTATCGTGACGAGCAACTCACTGCAAAAGCTCAAGGCTTGGTGAGAGCGTTCCAAGAGTCTAAAGCCTACTTAGACGGAGCAGCAATGTCGGGAAACCTTTTGAGYGARCAAGAGATACAATTGGCCGCTACTAGAGTGCCCATAACGCAAGGTTCACAGTTCTTGGGAGAGCTTGCTAGTGTTATACTTAAGATGTTCAGCAATAACAAAGCTACCGATGCAAAAAAGTGYATTAAGTACTGTGAACTSTACGCACAGCTGACAACAATCCGAGACATGATCCTTACRCAGTTTATATCTCTTACACCAAACGCCGAAAACCTACAAAACGACGTCAATGGCCTGATTGCCTATCGACAGAATTTCAGAGATGCAACAAAACTGATGTTCGAAAAGCTCTACACGGTCGACTACGATAGCTCGATWATGCCTTATTTTGATCCAGATGTCAGCRTCATAACGGACACTTACTCGACTAAGATGTTGAATTTGGGTAAATAYGATCGTTCCATGACTGGCCTGTATTGCCTAATGACCCCAGGGAGAAAAGGACTCGAAGATCTKGATTGGCAACGACGTTATGATAGGTATAAAGTGGGTGGCAATCCCTACACTACCATAGTGGRTCRAAGYAATGCCAACTGTTATTGGAAACTTGTACCACATGGGAGGCACGCGTACAGCATTGTAAACAAGTACAAGTGTAAAAAGGGGTATGATTACTGTGATGCGTTGCTKTCTTGGACAACAGATGGTGGCGAGGCCTTTGTGGACATCGCTTCGAATGACCCTGTTTTGTGGGAGATTTGGGGCTATGACTGGAGATAGTAAGTTTAATTTGTTTTACAATTATTGTATGCTTTTGCAGCCACTTCTTGGAATATTTTCATTTGCATTAGCTTTCCCCATTGGAAAAAAATCGCGCACCTTAAATGTTGTAAATTTGATGTAAATATGACGTAAGTGTCCAAAATTCTGTGAATTTAATGGAAATGATTTACATCAAATTTACAGAATTTTGGACACTTACATCATATTTACATCAAATTTACATCCTTTAAAGCGCGCAATTTTTTCCAGTGCCGGCTAATAACGATTCTCGAGAAGCACCCTTGTGATGCGATTAACAAAAGTACAAATGCCTATAATTTGTAGTCATGGTTTTATCATTGATTTTTCTTTCGTGAACAATTGCAAGGTCTCATTTACCAGACGTGACAGGTCTTCGAGTATAGAAAAGTTGTCCTTCGCTTAGCAGTTATATATAGTAATCTTGCGTCGATCATTTGTAAGTGCGTGTGGACTGGTTTTTGGCGATTTTCCAGACTTTTAAAGCTTGAAATCGACTYAAAAATGTGCAGATATTATAGCCGCAAAAGCACTTTTGAAGTAATATATCAATTATGAGCGGGAGACCTTTATGGGCATTTAAAACTGCGAGCTGCAAGCGAGCAGTTTTAGAGCCCATAAAGGTCGGACGCGAATATTTTATATTGCTTAATCAAATTCCAACATAAGGTAAAGCATATTTCGAAAAAAACTGCAGTATAAAATATCATTTGTAAGAGAAAATCGAAGTTAAAGTCGTATGCAAATCAGGACAAATCTCTTGCTCATATAAAGATGCGGTCACGGCAATGATTTTCCATTGTGTTTACCTTATGAATTACTAATGAATTTGATAATGTTTCTTAAAAATCATCAGTTTTGTTTGTTTCCATATATGGCATGAAGTCGCTAAAGGAAGCCGCGAAAATACACAGGGATTTCGCACGATTCGTGCAAAATGACAAAATTCTTTGATATAATTCTTATTATTTTTATACTTATTTTTCAGTATTCGAAGCAAATGGGGCTGTGGTAAAACAAAAAGTAAATGGTGCAACTACCATCTAAGGGTGAAGTAYAAGAGAAGGACCGTTTTCCTTCACACGATGAACTTAGCAGTCGGGCAGTTGGCTCCTTCAGATGGCAAGTACTACTGGAAGCTTAGAAGGGTATGTTATAGAGCGGATTTCGTATGAGTGGGAAACGGACGGTACCGTACTGTGTCCGTAATCGTACTGTAACCAAATTCGAGTGCCCCTTTGTTTCACCAAAATTCTGCAGGCCAGGTGCGGTAACTGTGCGGTAACCGTGCGGTAACTGTGTCCCAGTCATACGAAATCCGCTCTATAGTTTTAAGGTAACTTAACCCTAAATATAACCGGGGCTTGACGGACAAGGACTTTGATTAATAATTTTGTGTTTGTTTTTTCGTAAAAGAACACTTGACTTCCACTGTCTACTTGCCAGGCGGCCATGAGTCATGACACTTTTATCTTTCAAACAATTCAAGCCAAATACGTTAACTTAAAAAGGTCATCGTTCGTTTAGCAGYTATAATTACATGCTTACCTTGTCGGAAAGTTAGTATGGACTCATCTTTGGTCAATTGCCGGGGTTTTTACGGCTTTAATTCGTCGAAAACCTGCAGATAGCACAGCGAAACCATATCCAAACACCGGCCATCTTGTTTTTTTCCGTATATGGTTACAAAACACAGGGATCCCAGAAGAAATATGGAAAGATAAGCAATGATTTATTTAAACTCTTATTGGTTCTTTTTTCTTTAGAAATCGTGACTTTATGGAAAGATTTTACGGCAATTAAATTGTGTAAGTAATATATTTTATTTTGAAAGTACATGTATACCTATTCATTGAAAAAAAAGTYCAAAAATTCCCAAGAAGTTTACGCGAAGTTAACGTATTAACTTGATTTTTAACCTTTTATTAATTTCAGRTTTTTCTCACGGACTGTGGCCGAAATGGATTTGATTTACACTCAAAGTGAACTGATTTAATTATATGGAATGTCCCCCAACATTGTAGTAAATAATTAGATAAAAAAAATATTATGAGGCATCAATAAAATTCAGAAATTCTGACATAAATCAATTTAGTTTTTGTGTATGATATCGTGAGTATAGGTAGTGTGRTTTTCATAAACCCGTGAAACAAAGTACAATAATTAGAGTGTAATAAATTAGATCGTAATAGTCGCTTAGGGACAATAAAAAACAATGAAAATAGCCAAAGAAAAAAGAGCAAAAGTGTAATAGCGATAAATACGCTAACGTGTGTTTCACGGGTTAATGAAAACCACTCTCTTTCTATTTATTTTGTTTGGGCTTCCTGTGTTGAGTTAGTTACCATTCCCCGCACGGTTAGCAAAATAAAAACATGGCGGTGGACAACAGTGTTGAGGCTTCAGATCAAGGGGCTGTCTGCAATTTCTAGTTAGATATACACCTTTTGTTGAAGACTTCAGATCAGAGTAACCTCGCAAAATTTTATTTCGGCTTTTGCAAATCAAGAATAATTGGTTGTAAGTACAAACAGAATCAAATTGTCGCATCCGAAGTCGGTGGTGTTCAACATAGAGCCCGGCGTCCAGTGAAGATACCAATTCCAATAACGTTGTGCAAGTTGTAACTATTATGTCGTGCACGATTAGTTCTTCTAGAATGTTTAATCGGCTTGTAAAAAGGGCATGTAACACAAGTATACCGGCACTTAAACATATGCGCTGGCTATCCAGTAACCCTGGTGTTATGCAATGCTGGTCCCTTGACCAATATGGCGGGAATGAAGTCTTGCAACTGAACACTGTAGAAATGCCTTCTGTTCAAAGTTCTGCTGATATTCTAGTGAAAGTACACGCTGCTTCAGTAAATCCATTTGATATACGAATGAGGAACGGTTACGGATCAAAGCTATTAAATTTATGGCGTAAAACTAAAGGAGCTAGCGAATTCCCTCTTGTTTTGGGGAGAGATTTTTCTGGCGTTGTGGTTAAAACTGGAAAGTTGGTACGCAGGTTTAGGCCTGGAGATGAGGTTCGTATATTCTGTATTTAAAAGTGCATTCAATATATCCATGTAATGGTTTGCAAACAAAATAAGATAAATTGGTGCAAAAACCAATTCTTGGTGTGCAAGTTACGTCATCACCTCCATGTTGGATGAAAATCACAAAGCATTCCTCATTAGTTTCTCTTGTTCATTCATCCATCATGGCGGCGATAGCTTTGTTCTTTATTTCTCAGGGGATTCCTGGTCATGTGGTTGCACACTAAGAATTGTGTTCTCATTTTTAATCAGTGCAATCTGCAATGTCTTAGAGTGATCCTACTTAAACCATGCAACGGTACAAACTTAATAGTGCTATGTTGTTTTATTTAGTAAATCGTGCATGCAGTACACAAATTAAATTAAATGAATACAATTGAAGCATTCAATACCATCTTGCTTCAGGTCCACTTTTAGTACAAATTAGTACTACTTAGATTTTAATATAGTTGCACGGTTTAAGTGTGATCACTGTACAGAATATTTCATGGTTATAATGAATACACTCGACCATGTCCATATTTAATCAGTCATGTAGAATATGCCAAGTATAGTTCAATTGGGCTTTCCAAAATTCAAAAATTGAATAGGTATGGAGTTAGAATATTGATACAGTTAGAAGCCATCAAGAAACCAGTTCCGAGATGAGAAAGAGCATGAATACTAAGATGTAGTAGGGTTACCCAGTTTGAGGGTATTCACACAAACAAAAACTCAAGAACCTTGCAGTGAAACACTTTAGTGTATTTATCACTATTACACTTTGGCTCTTTTGTTTTTTATTGTCTCTACGCAACTATTACGATCTATTTCACTCTAATTATTACACTTTGTTTCACGGGTTTATGAAAACCACTCTATCATATCTTTCACATGTGGAGATATCACTGTTGGCATGGTGATGCATTTTTCGATCAATTTATATAATAGATTTTTATGTGTAATACATTGATAGATCTGTGACTGCAAATGAGTGAGAACACAAGGAGATAAAATTAATATTTTCCAAGTTATTCTCTATGTTTACTGAAGCTAGACCACAGTGCACCATTAGTAGGTATTTTAGAAAAGGTGTATGTCATTAAAGTGCTACTTGCATGAAAATGGCCTTATTTCAAAACTTCAAAAAATACAAATATATGACTCATTTATATCTATTAAAAGCAATTTTGGGAAAATATTTGTTTTGGAATCATCCCACATCAGAGAAATTTTGATTCAAAAGATGGAAGAACAAAAGGATTGAGTAAATGACGTTATCTACTCCAACATTTTTTGCTCAAATTATTAAGGATTTGTATCAATATCTTCTTGAAATCTGTTGCTTCGTGATTATTAGACCCATATGGATAGGTCTATTTGATTTCCAAGTTTTTTCTAAGGTTTCGCAATTTTCATCCAAGTAGCCCTATTAGGTATGTTCCTGATTTCTGAAGTAAGCATAGCTAATATTAACATTTGGTAACTATGTGTTAGGTTTGGGGGTCACCTACTGTACCCAATGGAGGAACTCACACTCAGTATTTGGTTGCTCGCCAAGATGAGGTACTAACAGAAACCTATAAGAGACTTGAAATGTGTAACGCAGTGCTAATAATATTCAAATCTAATATTCAAATCATTGGAATATTCAAATCTAATTTGCATCTCATTTCCTTATTTGGAAAAAATAAATTTACCCTATAGCCAACCAGAACAAGCCTTTAATCTCTTATCCAACAGTTGAATTTTCCAAATATGGTCATTATGGTCATAACATTCCTTGATGAAAAGTAGTGGTTTGACATGCCTTGTGTTAATAATATACTTTTGGGGGGAAATACTTCTTAAGGCACTTATAAAGTTGATAGCTTTATTCCATACGTTTCGCCTTTTCAGGCTTCATCAGGCTGGTGAAGCCTGAAAAGGCGAAACGTATGGAATAAAGCTATCAACTTTATAAGTGCCTTAAGAAGTATTTCCCCCCAAAAGTATAACATTCCTTTTTGAATTTTTAATAAGCTTTTACAGTCAAACTACCTCAAGCATGAACACCTAGTGATCATTAATGAGTTCAATATTGCATATTATTGATTTGATTCTTGAATTCAAATATTCATTATTCAAATGAAGTTTTAAATATTGAAAAATATTCAAGCATGCAAAAACGAATAGAATAAATGAAAATAATATGTGCATCCATGGGTGATAACTGCACATTTTCAAAATTTTGAAAAGTTGACTAATAAACTCAATGATGAATTTGTAGTTTGACTGTAATATTCCAACACTTGGTATTAAAAAAATGTATGGGCATTACACATTTCAAGTCCCTATTAGGTTTCTGGCACTAATGAAACAAAAATATAAGTGCCATGGTCAACTTGCATATGCAATCATTAAAATGATGTGTCTTTAAATATCTTTTTGCAGTCATTTTCCATCTGTCAGTTTCAAGATCAAATTTTGTAATTCAAGCACAAACATAGGTTTTTTTATATAAATTATATTTTGTTTTGTTTGTTTGTTTTTCAAAACATCATCAAAAGTTTGTGCAGTTGCACACTTTTACAGCGAAAGTCGTTGCATCGCAACTTCTTCGTTTCGAAGTTTGTTTTGATTTTGTTCTTTCCTTCGATCAAAGGGGCGGAGCTTATTGTAAACTAGTTCAGTCAAGTCGCAGAAAAACCTAAATCCTAATGATTTCTTTTGAACATTGAAGTCGCGATGCAACGGTTTCTGCTGTAAAATAAACAGTTTGATGTCACCAAATTTGCAATAATTATGCTTTTTCAAACTTATTTTCTCAGGATTGTAAGTCACCGGCTGACTCTTTGCCAGTTGATGTTATCTCCAATTGATGATATTTTTTTGAATAGAAATCATTGTCTTAATATGAAGCATGATTTCCTTTGAAGATGCAGATACTGGGGATGCAGAATAGTGCATTCATTGATGACAAAAACGTTTATATTCTCAGATTTCTCATAAGCCTGGTTGTTTAAGTCATGTAGAAGCTGCTTCTCTACCTTATGTTGCATGTACTGTATGGGTTGCTTTAGTAAGCAGAGCGGGACTAAAACCTGATAATTGTTTTGAAAAAAGGTAAAAGTGGTTTGTATTTAGTTGCAATGTTCTCCTTATATGGAACGCTTCACGTTGGAATTTTGACAACACAGGAAGCCCATTATTACTGATGAGCTGCTGAGTCCTGACGATGATAATGATGATGATTATTTATATTACATTTAACCAGTTGTTATTAACGATCACACTTATCACTAGGATACTGGTTTATGGTGGATCTGGTGGTATCGGAACATTGGCAATTCAGGTACAACAAAATACTTACAGTATTAGAGCAGACTTCGTATGACTTCGTGCAAAAACAAACAAACAAACAAAAAAACACTGCAATTTTGCGTCGTGACCGTACCATGGAGTGATGTTATCTTAAATCACTTATTTTCATTTGGCGTTGATACCAGGCAAGGTTTCTTAGCCATGCTGTGGTCCGTGCCTTTGCACGTTTATACGAAATCGACTCTGTTGTTCTTGGTTTTTCATCTAATACAGCAAAATAACCGAAATTTCAAACACGCTAATCTCGGCGCGGCGGGCACTATCGCGTTGTTGACTTTCCACCAATGAGAGTGGACGTAAAATTTGTTGCTGGATTAATATAAACTCTAATAAACTAAAAATAATGATAAACTACTTAGGGCCTTACAGTACATTGTCCGTGAACAGACTAGCATTTACTATTTCTATCTTTCTAATTTAAACTACCAGCTCTTAAAGGCCTGGGGTGCRCATGTTACCACGACCTGTAGTACTGGTGCTATTGACCTTGTCAAGTCATTGGGTGCAGATCACATTGTCGACTATAAAATCAATGATGTAGAACAAGAACTAAGGGAGCTTCCAGGGTAAATATTATCATGTAACCTTTCTTTTTTCCCACAGTTGTCTCTTTACGTAATGTTTATTCTAAGTACCATGGGTCTCCCCTGCTGTCCACTGCCTTTCCAATCTCTCCCCCTCTTCGCCTCCCTCCCAGCTTCCCACGGAGTTGGCATAGTCACTTTGAAAAAGGCAAACCCCAATTGATATGCCGTTCTTCCAGTCTATGCATTAAGAGCTTGGATGAAAAACAAACTACAATCGTTGACAAAATCCTTGGACCATTCCAGTGAATTTCCTCATTTTAAGCAACACCCGCCGACAATTTCATCCCCCCTGACCCCYTTAATGCAATGTTGTCATTATACCATAGTACACAAGCATCCAAAACAAGACCCAACATTGATGAAAGGGGGCTAAGGGGGAAAACTGTGATAAAATAAAGGAGAAAAATGTTAGGCTGGAGAGAAATAATTGTACGGTCCAAGGTATTTTGGCAACGATTGTAACGATTGTAATTAGCACTGCGTTACGAATTGCCGTTTTGTAACACAGCTAATGTGGAGTTGAACTTGAAAAGGTCATTAAAGACAAAACATGATTTTTTGTTGGTTACGTAAACAGATCAGAAGTGAATGAAAACTAACTATACCAAAAATGAAGCTTAGAAAGTCTGTTCTTGTCTCGATAAAGAATTTATCTAACGTGGAGTTAATTAGCAAAAATGTATTTCGGAGTGCACTCGTGGTTTTGAAATCGCTTTGAAATCGCTTACAAAGTATGCCTTCAACTTGATATGCCTTAGTCTCCTAGCAGCAGTTCTTGGTGGCGGGCTCCCTGTCCCCCGCCCCACAAACGGCCGCTATGCCTATTTCGAAAAAAAAAGTTTGTCGAAAAAAAAAATGGCGATTGCACGACTGAAAGAAGCCATGGGTTTCGCTAACTGATGGAAATAACAATTGATTTATATTGTAAGATTAAGTCTATGGGAATCATTGGCTCTCTTTAGTCACGTGGTCATGCAGTCATACTTCATCAGTCGCCGTTCGCCGTTATCCCCAATAACGTCTTTTGAAATAGTTGTATATTGATTATTCTTTATTGTTCTAGGTTTGATGTCATTTTAGATCCATTTGGCTACCAGAATCAAAAGATGGCAACGAATCTTTTATCCTTCTGTACAGGGGCAGTTTATGTCAACCTAGCTCCGCCATTATTGAACGAAATTGATCGCTTAGGGCTTGGCAAAGGAGTTATTTCGTCTGGTCAATCTCTTGTCTCCTCGTTCGCCAAAAAGGTAAATAAAACAACTAGACTTGACCCAACTATCATTCGTCAATAGTTTCCGTTGCTTGGGACAGGAATCCCAAAATTAACCAGCGGAGCAAATCAAGTCCTTATCTCAATAATCATTGTGCCGTCATTTTGTGCGGCGAAACATGAGTCATGCATAGCCTCCTCCTAAGGCAACTCATTTTTCCTCCTTTGGGCTTTCTTTGTAACAGTCATCATTGGCCGCTAGGGACTAGTGACTAGCTTCCCCTCTCTCGCCCCCATCCTCCTTCTTTTGACTCCAAAAAAAAGAAAAAAGGAAGACCGTGAATCACTGGGAAAAATCGCGCGATTCAAAGGTTGTAAATTTGATGTAAATATGATGTAAGTGTCCAAAACTCTGTAAATTTAATGGAAATCATTTCCATCAAATTTACAGAATTTTGGACATTTACATCATATTTACATCAAATTTACAACCTTTGAAGCGCGCGATTTTAATTTTTCAATCYGTTAACTTACGCGTGCAAACTTAGCTCTTTTAATACAACGCAATGAAGAAGGTCCGAGTTCTGACCGAAACGTCTGCGTTTTTTCATGAAAACCTTAGGCTAGTGACAAATATTTTTATTCAGTTTTTAATGCTAATACACCTTAGTACGCGCTGATTCCATTGTGTTCTCTTGTGTCTACATTTGACTGTCATTTGATATCAAATTTAATGGCTTCACTCTAATGAAAGCCACTCTGATACAATGATATAATAGCCATCTGAAACAAGGACTGCAAAATTAGCGTTTGATGTTCCTAAAAAGAAATCTGCAATGGAAATGACTTTGAATTCAAGTTTTGATGATGATTGCAGTCCCCTCCCCCCTCAGTTTTTATTTTGACTTTCATTTCAAAGATACCACAATTCTTTTCGAGTGTGTTTATTACGCTCTAATTAATTACGTCACAATCCGCTGTTAATTAAATGATTGAATTGATAACGTCATCAAAATTCTAGAACTTTCTGGAAACCGTGACGTCAGGACCAATTAATCAATTAAMCAATTAAGTCTTACTGATTAGTATATAAGCCGTGACGTAAATAGGTTCATTATCACTTGTTACAAGTCTTTGAGTTGTACAGGTGGTAAAACTTGAGCTCAAAGGAGATCAAATCTTTTCAAGGAAACTTGAGTGCCTCATTGACATAACTTAACCATGGGTTGGCTATTCAAAGCTACCGTTTTGGGTGCCACTGCAGTCGTCGCAGGGGTTACTGGATATATGGCATGGAAATACTTCACTAAGGTAAGCACATTTTAAAAAGAAATTTCATTTTCCRTGCAGTTTTCTAATGATTTTGTACTTTTCTTTCAGCCGTCTGATCCCGAAATTGATTCATCAGATGATGAAAGCTGGGACGAAGGATGCGCCAAAGGTGAAAGTCAACGCCAGCCACCAGCAGCCCAGGCGTCTACATCCTCAGCTCCTCCACCGCCTAAGGAAGCGGAGAAGCCACCAAATAAGACTGGGGAAAAGCCAGTGACAAAGCCAGCGGTAGCAAAGAAGCCAGCTGACAAAACAGCCAAGCAGACGTACTGCGGCTTTAAGAAGGGATTCCTTCTCTAGAGGAAAAATTCTCGTTTAAACGGTAACAGAAAACTATGCACGGCGGACACTACAAAAATTACCAAAAAAAATCAAAAAAACTCGCATAAAAATTACCAAAAGAAAAGATAAACCAGAAAAAGTATTTACAAAATCACAAAAATAAGAAAATGCATAAAAAAGACAAATTGAGTGAACGAGAGAATGACAAATGGGAGTCTAGKTATTAAATTAATAATTGAATTTAGGCATTTAGGTTTTTAATTTGAAAGAATAGTGAGAATAATGTAGTGTCGATCATCCAAAAAATCAGTGTCTGCCAATTGCATGTCGGTTTTTTGTGCCGTTTTTTTTGTAAATAGTCTTCATTTTCTACTCAGTATATAAACAAAATCTGGAACTGTAATTATTGTAAACCTCAACTCTTTTTTCTATACATGTAACAATATCTGAACCCTGTGAAATATATAAAAACTCTTGATTTGTAATAAAACAACTTATAAAGAAATACAGTCTCATTTCAATTTAGTTATTGAAAGGGAGCGAAAAGATAAATGAACAAACGAGAATAATTTTCTCTTCAGATCGATGAACTCTCGTGCATTCAAACAAAGAGCTGCCGCATTATATAAACAGACATTCCCTCGCGTGTTGCGGAATGAAAGCGTGAACGACTAGTTTGTCCAGAATGTACTTTTGAACGTTTTTCTTTTGGACGAAAATAGTGCTGAAATATAATAATATTGCTGAAGAAGAGAAAACTTTGAAGGAAAGTAGCACTAAACTATAGAGTGTGCTGTGTCGACGTTTCTAAAGAAACTGTTGGTAAAAAGATAAATTTGAAACGGTAAAAAATAGGTAAAACAACTTAACGTTTCGGACGCCTTCGTCGAAGCAAAGAGAAACGTGAGTAAAGTTGTTTTACAGTTTTACGGTGTCAAATTTATCTTTTTACACAACTGTTACTTTGAAGACAGACTGATCATCTTATGGATTCAGTTAGTTCAAGTTGTCTTTATCTCAGAGCTTTTTTAAAAGTATCAACATMTTGCAGAGACATGAGTCGTATTTCAATATGGCTGCCGCATATGATTCTTTGCCACTTTGGACGCATATTCATTTGCAAATAAAGTCTGTTTGTTTATCAGTGACAAGACTTTTTCTTTTAACTCTAAACTTCACATATGTATGTTTGAATACTTCTAAAGGATATGTGTGTTGTCATTTTCAGTACGATTAATATTTGAGCATCTGGAAATTGCGCGAGAGGAGGTATTTTTTCCTACTTATCAAGTGATTGCAAACAAGAATGCAGTTGCCCTAAAATAAACCATTGCTGAACATCTCTTTTTATTTAGGAGCCAGGCTGMAATAAGAATAGGATTTTACCATATAATCAGTCCTTTTATTATTGATCTAGTAGAAGGTTTCTGAGTATTTCAAACATCTAAAATCTCAGTTGCGCAAAACTTCATATTTGGAGACATTATAAATCACACACATTTTGACAAAACTTTAGGAAAACAAAGCAAGTCATGGAATTTGTTTTTGTATTATTTATTTTTTATTTTTTTTTTATTTTTCAGTTTTTCGTTTAAAAACGTAAAACCGAAAACCCCATGCCTTTGTTGTCAGTGGAATTGCCAAGGTAGTGTGATGCAGGGATTCTATATTTTGTCTTTTTGAATATCAAATATTTTGAAAGCATCCCAAAAATAACTCATTTATTCCTTCTATATTTTTAACGCTATAATTTTCGGGAAAATAAATAAATGNTAGCTTCATAGAAGAATGTAACTTGCTTTTCACACGTTATTTACAATAATAAACATGCAGTTAAGCTTATTACGTTTTTGATTTTTCACTTCCAGTTTCAAGTTGCTTTGTTTAATCTATAGTTTATACCGAAGATTCTATGCACTCAAAAACTACAAGAAATAGTAAAACTTCATGCAGAATACTCATAACTAGTTGTTGCCAAGTTTTCGGATACATTTTTGTATAAATAGCTGATTTTTTTCCTATTCTACTTCTAGTTTTGAATCGCACTTGACAGAAAATGGTGACGTCAAAACCATGTTTACATACTCTGATACAAACACGACAGTCGGCCAATCAGAACGCGCGTAGTATCCAAGTTATTTTATAAATTCTTTTATTCAGAAGAGATCCTATTGTTATGCAAACACTCTGTCAACAAAGAAGACAATAAAAATTTATGCTTGATTGAAGCTGAGCTTGCACAATGGAGAATTCGAAACTGGAGTATTCCCAGATTTCCATGCTAATATATCAGGAGCTCTTTCCACAKGTAGCGCAATATGGTAAAGTTTTTTCCAGTTTTCTAGTGATGCCTGCGGATGAAGTCCTCGCACTTGTTATAGCACCTAAAAGATCTTCCTAAACCTCTTTTATGTATTCCTCTTGTTGAAACGGCACAACTACTTGTATTTTTCCAAAGAAAAAGCTAAAACTAGTTAGAAGGATTATTTTAGCAGGCAAAAAAAAAAAAAAAATGCAAAGACTACAGTCGACTCCTATGATGTTTTTCTTTTTCACCAAATGGCGTCCCTGCGCTTGCATTGCGTCGTTGCATTACCAAATCATGCAATAGACCTCTGCAGCTTTTACGTCATGTACCGTATACGCAATGCATTGTAGGATATGTTTGGGACAGAACATGGCGGATTTCTTTTTTTTTCTCTTGAAACTGATCCCACAATGCATTGAAAATCAAGTAGTGACGTAAAAGGTTCAGAAGTCTATTTTAAAACTCGATCCTTTGAACTTAAATGTAAAATAAAAGATACAAGACACTGCTACATTTAACAACATTTATTTACATTTATATTATCCTATTTAATTAAAATCATTCAAAAAAAGAAAAAAACTTTTTAGAACTTTTTATTTACAACCTTCCCTAACCCGTTTACTAAATATATACTGTATATAAAAATATAGGACCTTGAAAGCGAGATGACAGTTTTTGACTTTCTAATCATCAACATAAAACTAGATTCGTAATCAATTAATTACAACAAAAGAATTAACTAATGCCATGGTATGCACAGGTTTGCAGTATATTAGCAGAATCGTATTCTTCTGAATAATTTTCCATACTGTGAAATTTGCCGCTGAGTTTATAGATTCCTTGCATGTGACGTCAAAGCAACTTCATCTAGAGGACAAAACAAAATATTTTTGCCCTCTTGGGAACTAGAATCTATTCATTTGTTCTCCAGTTGGAATTGCATTCCCACGAACTGCAAGGGGTCTATCGTATTTTATTTTAATAAGTGAAAATAACGCATTCATAGTCGGTGGAAGTAAGAAAAAAGGTATTTTACGACATAATTTGCTTTCATATATGTAATTACATGATAAACAGAATATTACACGGTCGCTTGGTGATACGAATTTTATCTCGTCTTGAAAATCTCTCACTCGGTTCGCTACGCCAACTCTTGAGATATCTTTTCAAAACTAGAAGATAAAATCCATATCTCTGCAGACCCATAATATCCTCTAAATGATTTACATCAAATTTACATCGTTTTGGACACTTACATTATATTTACAACACATTTACAACCTTTAAAGTGCGCCATTTTTTCAAATTTGTCACATGGGCGCGTGGAGATACGGATTTTATATTGGATTTTTGGAAAGACCCTCGCTAATGAAAATTGCTAGTTATCATCCGGTATCGATGTCATTGGAAATATCGCATATTTGACAATTAGACCTCGACGTCGAGTAAACAGTGGGTCGTTAGTCCATGAGGCCGTACTCGGCCCCAAAACTGACTCTAGGACAATGTTAAGCTTCATACATCTTTATACAAAGCTTATTTTAAAAGTATAACGACAGATTTGAAAAAAGAATCACCTTTTCTCGACCTTCTACATCTAAATTTATTATTCAGCAACGCTTTCGCATCAAGCCGATATCATCGGATATCATCGCTTTACTCGATAATAATCGTGGTATCACATGCTTAGACGATAGTTCCGTAGCCAATGAGAATGCTGGATTTGTGATAGCCTATAGTCTTGTAGATAATGAATGGTAATGTCAATCTGGTGTGTGAAAGTGGGGAAACCCAACAATACTACAGAGAGTGAACAGTGTGCTTTTTAAAAAACAGTAAATAAGGATGGCTCAATCGTCCTACTTTAAAGTCGATTTTTGATCGCTACCTAAATGATGTTAGTTGCACTAATAGATCTGTACTGAAACTTCGATACAGATTTCGATGGTATACCTCAATTGTTCGGTCGAACTTAGARAGTAAAACTTATTTTTTTCGGGACATGATTTAATCAAAATAATTGAGCACAGATCTGTTAAGTAAGGCGGTTTACCTTCAGAGATTGAATAGTCGACACGTGGTGTTCGTTGTATGAAAAAGGCCTTATTGTTAAATTTACATCGTTTGTAAAAATTGTGTAAATGTGATGTAAATCAAATTTACAGTGTATGTAAAAATTGTGTAAATTTGATGTAAAGATTATGTAAGTTTCCAAAATCATGTAAACATTACTTACATCATTTAAATCATTTTAACATCATTTTTACATCTAATTTACAGCAAGGTTTTTTACAGTGGTAACGACCAGGTTTTTTCCTGTACTTTCAAAGCGGATTTAAATAGAACTAAATATAGTTTCTTTTTTTAGTTTTCCATAGTTCTTTGACATATTACTTGCAAATATACAGCCCATGAAACCGTTCCTTCAACGACTACGGTTGTTTTCGTATTCTGTGAARGCTTCAATTGAACYCTAGTAGTTTGTTTTTGATTCTTTGACGAATGTACGAGAGGCGTARCGACATGATAMTTGGGTTGACAAGGGACTGTATGTGAATGAATGTCAAACTGATRGGCATCGAGGTGTACTTGAAAAAATCCGTGACATTTTTCCCCTTACCTACCTCTATCGCTGTGACAATAATAAACGGRCAGTAGAAKATAACAGACGCTAACACCAAGATGGTAAACGTAAATACTTTCTTGTGCTCCTTGTTWTGTCCGCTGGTKTGAGGCTGTACTGCAGCTACTTGGACAGCGATTGCTCTGCTGTGATGGTAAGCGGTCCTAAAGACTTTGCCAGTGCAGCAASAAACAATTAGTCCACACATAACCATGAAGATCATAKATGGTACTTTTACCAGGAATGGGCTGTTACTTCTGACTAAAACTGTGCTACCTAAAAGGATTGCTGGACTTACTAACCACATTACAGCAGTGATAATTACGACTTTATTTCTTGACTGATGTACTTGGTAAACGTTCGGATGTTCTATAGCGAGGTATCGTTCCACACTCGCTATCGCAAGAGTCAACAGAGTTTCAACATACCAAGGAAAAGACACAAAAAAGTAAACAGTGTTAATAGTACATAGAAAATAGTCTTCCTGAATTAGACCAACTAAGTTCGACGCAAACAGCGGTTCAGCCACTAGTCCCACAAAAAARTCGGTCACTGCCAGAGCAGCCAGCAACAAGTTGAAAGTATACGATCGTATCTCTTCGCTGCCAAGGATAGCCCAGATGACCAAAGCATTTATGACAACTGTAATCGGAGAGGCGATGGCGTTGACTACAGCGAGGAATGTCCAGAATGGTTGAACAGAGTTTGGGCGATCTGTCATGTTGAAGGGATCGAATATCGGCACCAATTTGAAACAAGCACCCGATGGTCCACTGCTTGTATCATGACTGAACGAAGTGTTAGCCATTGTAAAGAAAACGGTGTCACTGTGTACTCTATCTAGTTGTTGTTGTTGTTGTTGTTGTTGTCTTAGCTGTCAGAAAGACGTTCAAAAATCGTTTAAATAACTGTTGTCGAGTATATTTTGTGCCAAACATACGTCATAGCAGAAAAATATAAAATTTAAAAATCACGTGACCTTGGTGAGACTCGAACCCACGACCCCTATGATATCACATATACACCCATTTGGGGAACCATGCAGGATTTTATATATTAGAATGACAAACTCAGAAATAAAAATATGAAAAGAATAGACTTAAGGTTGTAGGCAACTTTTTAAGTACAGGAAGAGTTGCATAACAAACACATATTCAAATTTATTTAAATCTCGTTAATTTTACTTACGAGTTTGCAGTACATTGTAGCAGCGTTCTTTCAAAAAGACCTCGTTTTTATGTTTGTAAATCATATAGTTAGTAAATTTAGTCAAAATCAGACAAATACAGAGGGGGGTTTAGAATAATTATCATTCATGTTGGCCCTTTGATATTAATAGTATGTTAGGTTTTTTTTAATTAGATTAGTAATTATTTATATGTTTTTCTTGCCAGGCATTGTTCAAAGGTGGATCGGAATCTTGGGCTTTTGCCATCCCTAATCCAGGAGCCCTCAACCACATTGCAAAATTGTGTGAAGAAGGAAAAGTAGGCTGTTTATTAAATTTTACGATATATACTTGTTTTATTGAAACAATTAAAGAATCCCAAACAACCACAATACAGCGCGCGCTAGTGTTATTGTTTACATACGTTTAAATGCGTCAAGCATACAATAGATTATAGATTGATAGTGATAGTAATATTGTCTTTTTAAGATTCGTCCCGTTGTTCAAGAGGTTTTTCCTTTCAATAAAACCCCTGATGCTTTTGCACATCTCGAGGCTGGGCATTCACGTGGTAAAACCGTAATTCAGATGGAGCAACCTGATGAGAAGTTATCAGATGTCAAAGGGAATCAATGATATTTGGGTATCCTGTGGAATCATAATCAGTGGAAAACTGGTAACGATAGTAAGTTAATACCAAGAAACTACGGATTTTATAAAAACTTTTTTCTGTATAAGAACTTCTATGATTGGGAATGTCAGCTGCTTAAGCAACTCGTCTCGCATGATTCCTTTGTCAGAAAAATGGAGCGAAGACTGGGGAAAGTGTATTCAGGGCACGATAGACGCCATGATGGTTTTCACATTGTAATGCAAATTCGACATTTGTGGTCTTCCATAATGCTAGGGACATCAAATTTGGATATTTCAGTAGGCTAAAGATACAATCTCATGTTTTATTTTTTATTTTTCAAAGATATACTCGACTGCCAATCAACTAAACAATTGAGCAGTTTATCAAATAAACATCTCTTTTAAAGTGTGTCTTTAAATTTTAGGTACTTGATTGCTCAAACTTATTTTCAATTTCTTTTTATGTTTGCCGCCTGGAGGACAGCATGGCTAATTTGTATTACATTATCATGAATAAGGATTAAAGGTCCACTTGCATGCATGAACCTTTGCGGTCGTTTCTTTTGTTTTGCTTTCTAATTGCTTTGTGATTGGTTCAAAAAATTAAACATGGCGAATCGCGCAAAGGTTCTTGGATGCATGTTGGCTTTTAAGGAAGAATAGATCTCTGAAGCTTTTACGTCATGTACCGTCATAATGCATTGTAGGCCGGATATGTTTGGGACATAACGTGGCGGATTTCTTTTGTTTCTCTTGAAACTGATACCCACAATGCATTGAAAATCAAGTTGTGGCGTAAAGGGTTGAGGGTGTTCTCCAAGATTCTGCAATGGAACCAAGTGGCATTGTTATACGATAAGAAATAAATTTTGTTTGAAGAGGAACAAAATCGTTACTACTATTTACTGTGAAATTCCTTGATCATCCAAAATTGTTGGGTTGGCTTTTCTTTTTAAGTGTCTGATGTTGTTATTTTATTTTCCCTGCTCAAACATGAATATATGATATATATAATTCGTCAGACAGAAAGAGAGAGAGAGATTAACGAGCGCTCTGTTTGCCGCGAAGAGAGATGCCTTTTAGGCAAAACCACATTGTTTATTTTCAATCATAAACAAAAGGTCCAAATGGTTTGACGACGGGTCATGGCCTTTTTAAAAAACAGCTGAATGCTTTATAGGTTGGTGTGTTAACGAATTGGACTTTTTTGCCGCACTAGAATTGGTAAATGAGCGCGAAAGCATTTGACATTGAAAAACAACTCAATATTGATTCTCAAAACAGATCGTATGAGTATTAAAAAACACCATTCGTGATTTCTTTTTCTCGAATCAAAATATTCCATGAGGTTTTATAAAAAAAAACAATTTTTTGTGGACGCGCTATGTTTTTCGAACCGAGTTCGTAGTCATATTTCCGCTCTGTCCGCTCGTCGCCGCTGCCGCACAGTTATACAAACTATGCCCTATTGAGCTTTTTATGACCGTCATTCGGGTTATTTAAAGTTCTATTACAATACTCCAGTTTCGAATTCTCTTTTGTGCAAGCTTAGCTTCAATCGAGCATAAATTTTTATTGTCTTCTTTGTGCACAGAGTGTTTGCATAACAATAGATTCTCTGCTGAATAAAAGAATATATTACATGCTTTCGAGGTTAAGGCTGCACAAATAAGATCTCGAAACTAGAATATTAATACTTTATTATCCTTCAGTTGATCAAAAACAACAGTGAGCATTTCAACAATCAATAGAGACAGTTTATTCATTGAATTTTTGAAACGATCAGCTTGTAGTTCCAGGTCACTTTTATCCACATCGTCCGACTGGAGGACTGGGAATGAACGTATTGCATTTTAGTCCTGCTTTGCATCTTGGACATTCATTACTCTAAAATAAAATCACCATAAATAAGTATAAATTAGCATTTCTTGCTTATGATTCAGTAAGAAAACTATTGGATTTGAATGGGGCACTAAATAAGAAAAGTTTTTTGAATCTTTTCAAGATGGCGGTCGTTTTAGCAAAAAAAAATTCTAGTGGAGCAAGTTTGAACAAGCGGTAAAGCGCTGATCCTGCTGTTAAGATTGACTGTCCGGGAACATATTTGATTTGAGTTTAAAGACTGGTTGTCTTCCAAAGCCGTTTCTCCAAAACTAGCATCTTATTTTAATGCTGGAACACTTTTGAAAAGCTCGTAATAATATTTTTTTTTATAATAAAGACGTTGAAAACCAAAAGATTATTACTTAGAATACTCATACTCACCGCCATGCATAGTTCGTTGCTCAAAAGATGGTCTTTACAAATACCTGGATTATCATCACCGGACGTTTTCATGCAGCACTGGTTTTCCAGGCAGTCGGAATCACTGTTACACTGAAGTACAGTAACATTATTTCATTTTTTATTTATTTATTTTTTCATCCTTCTTTTTTTAAAATAAATTCCTATTTAATTAACATTAACATTTTGAGAAACTAAAATTGTTACTCAAGCTAACGGAATACCCTGGAAATGGACCAAATGAGCCTTCATTGTCCTTTTTATATAATTTAATTGCTTACAGCCTTTTGCACAAATTATGAGACATTTTTATATATATAAATATACCTAACCAAATATCAAAAACACCCAAGAAATTATGGGATACCGTCGCTGATATTTTGTCTGTAACAACCTGATGCTAGGCAATCATGACAAAATATAATAGAGATATACCATAATTTCTGGGGTGTTTTTGATATTTGGTTAGGTATATTTATATATATAAAAATGTCTCATAATTTGTGCAAAAGGCTGTATATTTATATATATAAAAATGTCTCATAATTTGTGCAAAAGGCTGTANTAGTTAGTAAATTTAGTCAAAATCAGACAAATACAGAGGGGGGTTTAGAATAATTATCATTCATGCTGGCCCTTTGAGATGAATAATATGTTTTTTTTTAATTAGATTAGTAATTATTTTTGTTCTTATATGTTTTTCTTGCCAGGCATTGTTCAAAGGTGGATCGGAATCTTGGGCTTTTGCCATCCCTAATCCAGGAGCCCTCAACCACATTTCAAAATTGTGTGAAGAAGGAAAGGTAGGCTGTGTATTAAATTTTACGATATATACTTTTTTTATTTAAAGAATCCCAAACAACCACAATACAGCGCGCGCTAGTATTATTGTTTACATACGTTTAAATGCGTCAAGCATACAATAGATTATAGATTGATAGTGAGGTACTTAGTTAAAGGTATTTCTGTCCAAACTGAAAGGATGCAAGACCATTCGTGCTCACTTTAAGAAATCCTAAAATGGCGCGCAAGGTACAGCGGTTGGTTGTGATTCTTAAGATAAAAATATCTATCCGGAATTCGAAATCACGCAGTTTACTTTTGACCGTTGTAATTTAATCGTATTATCTATAACTACTTTATAGCTGATTGTAAAATATAATCATATTCAAACTGAAGATGGCTTTATGAAAGTCGAAACATGCCTTTGAAATTTAAAAGTGTTGTGTTATTTTTTTAAATCATTTTCAATAATATTGTCTTTTTAAGATTCGTCCCGTTGTTCAAGAGGTTTTTCCTTTCAATAAAACCCCTGATGCTTTTGCACATCTCGAGGCTGGGCATTCACGTGGTAAAACCGTAATTCAGATGGAGCAACCTGATGAGAAGTTATCAGATGTCAAAGAGAATCAATGATGTTTGGGTATCCTGTGGAATCATAATCAGTGGAAAACTGGTAACGATAGTAAGTTAATACCAAGAAACTACGGATTTTATAAAGGCTTTTTCCTGTATAAGAACTGCTATGATTGGGAATGTCAGCTGCTTAAGCAACTCGTCTCGCAGGATGGGAGAGCCTACGTAGCACTCAGTTGATGTAATATATTCATAAAGATATAATACAAAACACATAATACAATAGAACGAGAAACAATGGAATACAATACATTTTATGAATACATTACATCAACTGCGTGCTACGCAGGATTCCTTTGTCAGAAAAATGGAGCGAAGACTGGGCAAAGTGTAGTGCACGATAGATGCCATGATGGTTTTCACATTGCAATACAAATTCGACATGTGGTCTTCCAGGTTAGCGACATCAAATTTGGATTCTTTAAAGATGTTCATGGCTGCCTGTCAATTGAACATTTAGAGGTTTATCAAATAAGTATTTCTTAATGTGTCTTGAAACATTAGTTACTTAATTTATTTTCAATTTCTTTTTATGTTTGCCCCCCTGGAGGACAGCATGTCTAATCTGTATTACATTATCATGAATAAGGATTTAAGGCCCACGTGCATGCATGAACCTTTGCGGTCGTTTCTTTTGTTTTGCTTTCTGATTGCTTTGTGATTGGTTCAAAAAATTAAACATGGCGAATCGCGCAAAGGTTCTTGGATGCATGTTGGCTTTTAAGGAAGAATAGACCTCTGAAGCTTTTACGTCATGTACCGTATACGCAATGCATTGTAGGATATGTTTGGGAAAGAACATGGTGGATTTCTTTTGTTTTCATTATCACATCATTATAATTTCTATGCATTCTCTTGTGCTGTCAATCGTCATGGTGACAATCAATCATTTTCTGTGTTCACGTACGTTTCAAGCCCAGTCGTTGTACAAAGTCCAAATGTAACTGAGTTTCGTAAATTAGATAGGGTGCCCCTTCGTA